TAAAACCCCCCCCCCCCCCATCTGAGGGTTGTCCCCTCTAAAAATATGATTAAAAACCATGCTGTGTATTGTGAATAACAATGTTTTATACTTTAAATAACTGTGTAAGTAGTAAAACAACACAAACGGTAAAAATGTGTTTTAAGTTTAGAAACATGTTGAGTCTCCCCCTCCCTTGCCTCACAGTGATTTGGTCCAAATGCCTGCTTTCCTCTTTTACATCACCTAGTACACACACACAAGTCCTGTGAGAGAGAACAAAGTCAATAGTTATGGAACTCCAGTAAGTAAGGATGTCACGGCTATTTTATTCACTTAAACATCGCATGAAGTGATTATTTTCACTTTAATACAGATGATACCAATATATTTTTCGATGAGTCCGCTATTGTTAGTAATAATAACCTTACCTACTTGACGGAAAGGGTTGCCAGGTTTTCACAACAAAAGCAGCCCAATTGCTACTCAAAACTAGCCCAAACTAACCGCGTTTCGAGGGGTCCCCCAGTAAAAATCGCGTTCTGGAGGGTAAAATACACGTTATTGGGGTCACTTCAACCCGCGGACATGAAAAACAACCCGCGGCAACAGTGTTAAAGTATCCCAATTCCACGGGAAAACCGCAGACTTGGCAACACCGTGACTGAAACAACAATAGACTGTAAAAAAAGATGGACGGTCTCCTATTCCTTTCACTATAGAAAAGTGAAGCCAAAGCATCTCAGTATGGCAGCTGCCATCTTGAGTAAATGACGTCATTTGGAGCCAGAGTCTGTGCAGTAGAGATTTGGTCTCCTATTCCTTTCACTATAGAAAAGTGAAGCCAAAGCATCTCAGTATGGCAGCTGCCATCTTGAGTAAATGACGTCATTTGGAGCCAGAGTCTGTGCAGTAGAGATTTGTTTGGAGCCAGAGTCTGCGCAGTAGTGTCGTGAGGTGGAGCCACGTTATCAAACTCCCGCCCAAACTCCTGCAGACCCAGTCAACTATAAGACATGCCCCGTTTTTATAGCATCAAATTACTAGCTAAAATAAAACTTATCACAAAAACAAACAATTGAACATATATCAGCGTGATAACTACTACCTTAAATGACCAAAACCATCTTTCGGAAAATTGTATTGGAAGTGTAATACATTTTTTTATTTTGACTCATGTCCCATTCGTTTACACGGAGAGGGCGGGGTTTATGACCTGTACTGCAGCCAGCCACCAGGGGGCGATCAAAGAGCCCGCAGCTTCACTTTTCAGGACGTGTGAGGCACACCCGGATACAATGGACACCAGCGCGGCTGCTGTGCATCTTCACCAGTAGGGATGGGCGATACCCCTTTTTTTTTTCTCTCGATATGATACCGATATTTTTCAAGGCAGTATCGTCGATATCAATACCGATTCGATACTTCTGCACTAAACTTTTAAATTATGAAATTTATGAAATTATGAAATTATTAAATTACTAAGAGTAAAATGGGCGCGTCAGTATCGATATATCGATACTTCGGATCGATACGCCCATCCCTATTCACCAGTCTGTTGGTAGTGCTGGGCTGATGGCTGGGATCTTGTGTCGCTTTGGATGCTAACAGCCTCCTTCATTTGGAGCACTTTCTGCCCCGGGGTCATTCTCCTGAAGTTCACACTGCCTCAGAGAGTGAACAAAGACTGGACTGGGAGATTCAGAGTGCTGTTGATAAGGCTGTGCGGGACTTTGTGTCATCCTGGTACTGCAGTTCTGTTTCTAAGGGAGGTGAGGGATGCCATGCTGGAGGCGGCCGCTGAACTGAAGAGAGGGCAAAGCAGGTGGACCGGAGGGTTCTAGAGCTTTGTGGATGCCATCTGCAGAGCTTTAGTCAAGCCAAGGAACTCCAACGAACACTGCAAGAAGAGCCTGACCAGTTGCTTTCAAACTCACCAAAACTATGGAGATTGTACAGTAGGGCTGATTTGCCTCACCCTGCCCTGACTGGCCCAACTAACCAGCTCTGCTACCCTAGAGCACTGGTAGATCTCCTCATGCATGTCCTTATTCCCAAATCTCACCTGGAAACACAAACAGGCCGCAACATGGTGGGAGAGCTCATCACCAAATGACTGACGATAACACATTATCAGACTTTCAAGTCATTCTAAACACAACAAACTCAGAAACATGCACCTCGTTGTAATGAGAAGCATGGCAAATTAAAAGAATATGGCCTGGTTTCATAGAGAGGGCTTAGACTAAGCCAGGATTAGGCCATAGTTCAGTTAGGACATTTAAGTAATTTTTATAAACATGCCTTAGAAAAAAACATTACTGGTGTACATCTTGAGACAAAACAAGGGCACTGACATATTTTAAGATCAATCAGTGCAAGTTTCTTTCAGTTGAAACAGCTCAGACTTACATTTTAGTCTGGGGCTTGGCTTAAGCCTTGTCTGTGAAACCTGGCCTATATGTTCTAAAATCAGCTCAAAATATCAAACATGTTTGATATCCTCTAATTTAAGCTAAACAAAAACCTCAGAGTCGGTGCCCATCATTACACTACATGTTTTTTCTGTGAAACCTGTCAACTCTGAATGGCCAAAATCTGCAGACTGGCTCTGAATTTCTGCTGTAAAGCAGCTGTGGCAAGACAATAGTGTCATTATTCAGCTCCAGTCAGTCAAAGTCTTTGAAAAGTACCCCTGAAACCTGATTAAGTACTCCCAGTAACTGGCTCTCATTGGATTTTCTGTTTCTGTTTCAATCTCTTTTCCTCTCGTTCTGTAGGTTCTTCGAGGTTTCTCCCTGTCAGATCTGGAGGGGTTTGTAGAGGAACAGGAGAAGCAGGTGGATGGGGGTGTCAAGAGTCATTATGGAGGAGGAGGACACATGAGAGAGCAGAGACCTGTTGAAAAGAGAGGAAGAGGAGCAGCTAAATCAACCAAGAACTTTAAAAGCCAGAGCTTGAAACCTTTTTTTTATGTATTTTATACTCAAACGCAGATTAAAATTGTGCAGGATAAGGTGACTGTGAACTTTAATTTCACATGCAAAGATATGCATTATGCTGTACGTACAATGTTGAACATCAAACAGGAGAGGGCAGTATAGTGTTGATGAACTACATTGAACTTGTTGTAGCTTTAATTATTTTATGTGAAATCAAAGTATTTATCTGATACAATTTAACCCTAACTTTACACTGCCAAATGTTGATGTTTCAAACTGCTGTGTGTTTGTAATGATGCAGACACTGCCCTGGCAGATATCGCTCTGAATATCTTTTGTTTGCTGATGAAGGACCAGTGGAGTTGGCTGTGTACAGAAAACATCCAGAAAACCAACAGACTGCTCTTTGGCACTTTTATTGAAAGGTGAGGTACAGTCATTTGACAACTCTTATCTTAATTCTTAGTAATTCAGGGGATTTTAATGGTCATTTTTATGGTGTATCCTTTATAATCTACCCTGTGTGTATGTAAAAATGATCAAACTACTAATTAACCAGTAATCACTGCTGGCCATGATGTTCAAATTTAAAGGGACTGTCCACCCAAGAATGAAAATTCTGTCATCATTTCCTCATGTTGTTACAACATTTTCGGTTCCCACTGACTTTCATTGTATGGGAACCAAAACTGTTTGGTTACAAACATTCTTTAAAATATCTTCTATTATGTTCCACAGAAGAAGGAAAATCTTACAGGTTTGGAAAGACATTAAACTGAATTTTCCTTTGTTGGTGGACTGTCCCTTTAAACAGTTCATTGTTAACTTTGAGTAATATGTCAGTTGTTTCATTAAAGCACACTAGAGTTTGTACATGGCCAGAAGCAAAATCAAGCCATTGAATCTTGTAATGTTATAAACCTGACATTACTGTATTATCCCATCATGCTGGCTTTGGAGACAAGTCTGGTTAAGCGACATTATGGTGACCTAGTATGAAATTCTTTCAAGGATATAATCCCCTTTCAAGCTGAATTGTATTTCACAAGACCCTTACTGAACCAACCTTTGAGAAATTTTTTTTTTTAACAATAGCAGGGTCATGTTAAAATTATATTTAATATCACGCAAATCAGCATGTAATTATATTCAAAAATGAACACTTGTTTTGGGTGAGGCTGGTCATTAATGGTTGTCCATTCATTCCTCTGCATAAGTCTCCATCAGACTTTAAAGGAAAACATTTCTAGAAGCATGGAAAGCAGAGCTTCTTATGCATGTGCTGCACTCCACCCAATTAGAAGTAATTGAGGGGCGAAGCGCAGGAAGGTGATTGGATCGCAGCAGGGCTGGCTGATAACTGGCCAGCGAGCTATTCAACAGGATT